AATGAGCCATCGACATGTAGCGTGATCACGTCCTTAGCGGACCCCACGAACTCACCCCCAACAAAAACAGCCGGCACAGTTGGGCTGCAGCCGAGGGCCCGTAAGGCCCATTCCATTTCCCGGCCTCTTGGGTCTTGGTCGAGCTCGTGGACCGCAGGGCTAGCCCCTAACTCGTAGAACAAGGCCTTAATGCTATGGCACATGCAGCACGTGCTTTTCGTGAAGATCACGGCCGCTTTCTTGGACGACAAGTCCCGTATTCTATCCATTTTTTATTTTTTTTATTTTTTTTTCTTTTTGGGGGAGAATTTGATGTTTTTGCACTTGAATTTAGGGTTTTATGTGGTGTGTTTGTGATTTTGGAGAAGACGTCATGTGTTATTTATAGAGGGAGAATTAAAGTCGTACGTTGACTATTTTTATTTGGGTTGACATTTGTTAATTTTAAAATAATTTTTGGAGAAAAGGAGGGGGAAAAGTTGCATGAGAATCAAATCAATATGAGATATTTGTTAGGATAAAGGTTAAAAAGAAGGAACTTGACAATTGGTGATTTTCTTAGGGGAAATTGACACTTTGTGCTATACATGCAACACAAGTTGACTTGTTGTGACTTGTGTGGTAACGTATTGTGATTGAAATTTTGATATTTGAGCCCGAAAAGCTTCTCCACAACAAGAGAATCCGTTGACGGCGTTACGACGTGACGTTGGATTCTGAAAGGCTGATGATCATGATAATGAAAATAAAGTTAAATTTTGTTGATAAATTTAGGGTTGAGAAATAATGAATTTGGGGGATATATTCGAATGTGTCATGGGAGAGTATCAAAACGGCAACTTTCGGTTTATGGAACTTATAATATTATTCCACAAATGAACTTTGCATACGTGGTTAGTGATGGAAACACAAATTCCCTCATCCAATTGTTAAAAGCGTCCAATAAATAAACGTTACAGTTTTTTAATAAGATTATACGATTATAGTACTATAAAATATCATAATTTTTCATATAGTCGTTCATCAGATCGGCTCCATGCATAAGGTGAACTGATATATATGAGTCTAGCGACTCAATTATTGAAGTACACATCGCGAGTACAAATTGCTAATCGAGAGTAGTTATATGTGGTTTTCTGTTTGACTTGACTATACTCTAGTTAGCGTGATGAGAATATGATCTTCGAAATAATCATAACGAAAGAGAATTGAAGATGATGGACTCTAGTTAGTTATGAATTTTGTGGCGATTCACATCTTAATTAATACTTAGAGAAGAGGTAGCTTATTAGGTATAGTTCATATGAAGGTCATAACCGTTTTTCATCGAATTTAGAGTATAGACACATAACATTTAACTAATTTAAGTACTTGGGTGGTAAATATGTATGTATAAAATTACTCATATATTTTTACTATAGATATACGTATATAGTTGTACGTCGAAATACAAAAATAAATAAAAATAAAACGGTTCATCATCTTTTATAATGAAATATGGTTATCTAATGATTATAATTTTACCTAGCAAAATTTGTAATATATAGTGTTGAAGAAGTTATACATATTATTGCATGTGTGTCTAATTAGACAGGAATATTTTGAAGTATCATCTGTTGATAACATATTCTATAACTCCCATTTGCTGATAACATATTCTATAGGTCCCAACTCCCAACTGTAAAGAGGTATATATCAACATTTTTTAGTTATGCTTTTTATAAATGTCAATCTGATCTAAGGAAATTAAAAGTGGTTTTCGAAAATCTTGTAACATGCATCGAATAAATTTCAGAACCAAATTGACCTCTACACTTATGTATATATGATCATTATCTTCATGCCAAATATTTCGAAAGTAATAATAATAATAATTAGGTCCTCTACATTGGAATAACTTTTCAATTTTGGTACGTTATTTTGTCTCAGCAAAATCTATCCAGTGTAATTGTTTTTTTTTTCTTTTTTTTTTTG